TAAGGAGAAGGAGAAAAATGAACAATATAAAATTTAATCCACATGGCGAAAAAGATACAAAGTTACAGTTCTTATTGTGACAAACCATATCAACGAATAACAGTTACTTTTAAGTCTAATGTTTTGTACATAATCTCGTTATTTCTAATATAAATTTAGTTGTTTTACTTTTTCAATAGCTTTTTTTGTAACACAATATCATACCGATCTTTATACTTATTTGAATATTGACAAGAATGTTTCGCAGAAATTGTTGTAAGAAATGTTTCTAAAAATATTTGATCATTTGCCTTTGTACATATTTGAACATTTGTCAAGTGATTTTTATTATCGATAACTTCAGAGCCAAAATTTTGACCAGCAAATGGAGATAGAATGAATTCTAGATGCTGATTTGAAAGGAATTTTGTACAAAATCCATGTTTAGTATTATTTTGTTGTAATTGTACCATCAATTGTGCAGCACTATTATCCCACCAACGTAAACCTGATTCCGGTTCATTCAAACATGTAGCAAAACTCATGACTAATTTATAAACAAATGGTTTCAAATGTATATTTTTGTCTTGTAAGATGGCTTGTGCTTGCGTTGTATTATATGGTAAAGCCTGCTGTGTTGCTATTGGCATGATAACAATATGTCGTATACCAGCTGCAAATACACGTTGTGCAGCAAGTATATCAATCCATACATTGGGACTAACATCATCTACTAGAATACCAGATGCATCAAATATTTGTGGTAATAGAAACTTCTTAATACGACGACGTTGCAGGTCAGTATCAGCTGTATATGAAAAACTACTGAAATTGTTTCTGATTACTACATCAAAGCAAATAACTTACATGAAAAGTAAAGAGTACCAATTTTTGATACAATTGTGCGATCACGAATAATCGCTTCAGCTATATTTGTAAATGATCCAAGCACAAGAATATCAACTGGCTGATTGGAGTCTTTTAAAATATATGTTATTAATTCAACAGCATCAAATGGTGACGGTTGTACACTAGGATCAATTGTTGCGTTAAGACATTGAAAATATTTATTTACATTATTAATCAGCGTTATCGGCACCGTGTAACCAGGTATTAACAATGATGGAGTACTAGAAACAAATTAAACAATACAATTCTCCGAATGAAATTGTCATGGAAGGAGTTGTGGACGATTAACGTTAACTACAGAAACATTTGTGTCTGACAGTCGGATGCTTGGTCGCAAAATACTTCTTTTCAGTTTCTAAACGTCATGATCTGTTTTTAATCACTGGCTAACAAATACCAAATACAGCATGTATCATCATTATTGAAAAATGCTTTGAAGCAATAGTTTATATTTTTACGGATATAGAATGTCAAGCAGTACGTGGGCGTTCACCTCTTCTTACTGTCTCCGCGATGTTCGCACTTAGATATGTTCCAGTATCGAAAGCCTTGGGATTGATGGTATATTTATTAATTCAAAGACGGTATTCGTTTGGTATTGGCTTTCACTTTTCCTACTTTCGCTTGCATTTCTGTAAAGAACAATAACAAAAATATTTTTCGAGCTATGCGTTGTTTCAGACTTTTTTCTAGCGCATAATGTTACATTAAGTCCAGATATATATATGTGTGAAATACTTTTGTATGTGTGAATAGAAATGGAAAATCTATTTAGACAGTGGATATTCAATCACTCACTCACTCTACAGATGTGGAAGAGATGTCTTTTTCCCTTAAAAAGATAAATTATCTATTAAAGAAAAATATTTTGTATACAGTCTAAGAATAATGTCTTTTCTGCGCACAGAATCCGTCGATTTTTTTCATACAGTGATCTTAGTGCAGAGATCAAACGAGAACGCATTAAATAGCAAAATTTGCCAGGTACTGTCGCCTCAGAAATCATAGCTGGTTCTAGTTCTGTCCTAAAGTTGTTTATCGGACAGGAATAACTACGACCTGAACTGGACAGAGCGTGGCTTGGTTATTTTAATCAATAGTTTCTTTTTTCAATAGTTAAGTTTTCTTAATCAATAGCTTTTTTTCACCTTGATTCGACTGAGTGAAGCGCGAGATTTTGCGAAGTTTGAAAAACTCGATACCTATAGCCAGGCGCTGTCGAATATCAAACCAATATTAGTGGTACAGGGACGGACTATTTGTGCTTATCAGACATTGTCGATCCTCGTCAGTCACACCTGAAGAACAACAATAGACGTTTTTCTTGTCTCTATATTGACGTGTAGATTTTCCAAGGTAGATGAGTATCTGGAGGAAAAAGGTAATTTTTCTTATTTTCCTTTAATAACTGCCGTAGTCTATACCTGAAGATATATATACTAATCGCGCAAAGGCCATCTAGAGCCACAAACAAGCAAGAGAAGCAAAACATAAAAACCTTGTTCTATGTATATTTGTTACCTATTTTTATTGATGTAATAACATTTTGGCGTCTGTTTTTCTTGCTATTATTTCACTGTTCATGTGGGCATGGACAGAAAAGCGAAACGAGATAGACGTGAAAAAAACAGTATATTAGAAGACATCAGTTTCTTGCATCTGTTAACAATAGTTTCCGTTTCTTTCTTGTTTCCGAACATCTCACGAACTTCTGTATGGTAGAAAGCTAACATTCTTTTATTAGCGGTGAGGGTGACAAACATTTTTTTATTAGCCCGATGATCGGAGAAAAAAGATGATATGCGATTAATTCCAGACTTCAAAAAATGGATGAGTCCTGAAAAAACAAAGATGTGTAAGTTGGGACTTAGACTTCAAGATTATTTTTATGAACTGCATGCGAGACTCGAAATGGTTGTCGAAAATGAAAACTGAAGAAAAGTTTCTTGCGCTGTCCTAACCCTTAGCAGGGTAAGTCGGAGAAAAATATCTTTTGCGTTGCATCTGCTCAGTCCTTCAGGTAAAACAAGTCAGAAAAATTGCTTTTAATCTTGAACACGCTTATTGTCAGTGACCCAACCGTTCGTAATGCGTATTAGCTTATTGATGCGCTACAATCGTTTTAAGTCTATTGTAACGTCAGAATTCGATTGGCTCACTTGATCAAATGCATTATTAAGCATCACTGCTAGTCGAGAGGAATACCGCCAGCATTTGATATATCGCACTGCAGAAAAGAAAGTGTTACTATGACAGTCTAGAATGGCTGATGACAGTGTCTCATTTACATACGTGAATGTATGTTGGGCACACTTCGTCTCTTACACACTTAAGCAGAACAAAGAGCCTACACACTTAAAAAAACACACAATGTTTTGATCATGAGTGACCGTACTTTTGAGATACATCTACCGAAACAATTTATTTTTTACAATGCCTGATGTTCCTGATTAAGCACACAGCAGAAATAATAAAATAACAAACAAAAAATGATCTTTACCTTTCTCCGTAGGCTACTGGTACACCATATTCACAATTGAGCTTACTTAATAATGTTAAAACAATTGGTGCCGTATAAAATGGAGTTCTTTAGATAAAAATAAACATAAATTTTAATTAAGATTATACTCCACTAAAGAAATTAGATTCTGTCTTGCGTCATATCCTAAGAATTATTCAGCTCATGCATCTATATATCGTGCCTTAGCTAAACTCCTAGTGTCAGTTATAACTTGAAAAAACTTTTTTGCCCAAGTGAGAAGTTAGCGTAAGACATGTCATATAGAAGCTAATACGTACCTCGCCTCAACATCTCACTTTTTTTTTCAAAATTATGTAGGGTTACAGATTATACATACGTAAAAGCATTACCAACTGTTGTTATAGCCAATATTTTAATTGTTGGAACCTAAGGAAATTCTTTAGAGGTGTAAGAGAATAGAGAATAAGTATTCCTCATTCGTACATGGAGCATTATCATACTGTATTATTGGTCTTTTCTTGAGTAGAAAAAAACATTTTCAGTTGTACTGAAGACATTTTCCATGCATGGGTGTATGACCCTAAACAATATTCTTTGTTCTTCATACGTGTTCGAAAACAGATTATTGACGATGGTGCTGAAATTATGGTGCGTAATAAAAAACTGGCATATCTTGTTTCATAGATATACACACATTCTCTGTTAGCACAACGTGATAGTCAAAGAAGACGTTATATCTAGTGGACAGAGTCGGATGTATTACCAAATTGTGTAAAACAACGCGGAGTAGTAGAATATATTCCAGGACAAAGGAAACCAATGTAAATTGTCGAATCGACAAATATATTTTCCAGCTAATCTCTTAGAATAGATTGAACTGTTTCATTAGATATGAATCTTTCATTTCGAGACCATGATGTGCTGACAGAAGTTGTGGTGTTAACCTATCCACTATTCAACAACTTTATTATTTACCATATTTTCACCAATGACTGTAAGTGATTCTGTCAGGACGCATTTGAAAAACGCTGAATATTTTGGTACCTGGTTGAATTGAACAGCATCGCACGCAAACGGAGATATTTTGAAATTATTCAGTTGAATCAGAACGAAAAGAGATTATCACCAATGATGGTGATAAAAGCACGGTACGTAATAGAAACTGGCATATCATGTTTCATATGTATAGACACATTCTCTGAAATTTTCATGAAAACAAGATTATATTTATTAAGAAAAGTACAGCAAAAGCAACGGTTTGACTCATTTTCAATTTCGAATGTTTAATTTATCCGAATCGTTATCAAAGATATACAGAACAAATAAAACGAAACGTTGGAGACGGCATGTTGCTTCTTTGGTTATAATCTTTTTAATAAAAACTTTATCTAAAACACATAACGGTTCTGTCCTAGAAACAGTGATTATTGTCTATACTTTTTAGATCCTATTTATATGCATTATTTTCCGTGTATGATACAGAATATTTTCAGATACCCGTAGAACAACAGTACACTGCTTCGAATTTGTTTTTTTATGTACAGGAAAAAAAGCTTCTGTTTTGAGCGGTTTAATGTGAGAAAAAAACGTGAATGAGATAAATTGATAATCGCGCCGTTACTGTTTTCAACGTGATAACGCATTTAGCATCGCTTTTTCTTCTACTACATCTTCAAGGGTTTCTGAATCACCTTTAATAATTCCTTTTTTACTAAACCATTTACTAAATGTACTTTTTTTCGGACCCTTTCTTTTTCCCGTGCGGCTCAGATCAAACTGATTCCGAAAATTGAGTCGAGTAGAAGCGAATCTGAACTCAGAAAACTCCTGTGTTTGGGAGTTAAACCGAACAGAATCGATTCTAAAGTTGAATCGATTTGATTTGGTTTGAATGAGACTTAAATTGGAAAAAATCTGCTTGTTTCAATCCATAATAATGATAATACATGGAGAAAATGTCGTCAATAATTGAGAAAGTTTTTCTGTGGAACATGTTCACTAATAGCAACAGTACTGATTTTAGTGATCCATGTATGGTGTAGATATTACGTACATTTAACAGATAAGCAATAGCAAATAGGTCGTCAACATCTGCATCGGTATCAATAATAACCGGTCGACGATGATCAGCCGCTATCGTCGTTGTTATTACAAATAAAATAATAATTACCAAATTCATAATGTCTATTTATGATCTTATCAATAGCAATAATAAATTTGGCAAATAAACACACACACAATAGCAAGAAAAACAGAAATACTTGCAAATTTAACTATATAATATTTTGTAACTTACCGCTTACACAAATAAATACGAAATAGTCGTTTGTAGGTTTATTCGTGTATTTTTTCTCCTACTAAAGTTAATCAACCGATTCCTTGTCACCTGATACAGTCTTATGCAAACAATGCACAAAGTATGCAAATTTTTGTTATTAAACAGAAAAGGTTATTGAATTAGGTATGCAGTAGACAGTAGGTCTAATATTAATAGCATGTTGTATCATCAACGGTAAATTCAAAATGTGGAGATCGACATTAGTTAATAAATTAATCGGACGATCCAAAGCGAAGAAACGCTTCTAAGAACTGTACCCCCGCTTTCAAAATGGAAATGGTTTTAATGTGCTTGAAAAGAGCTCTCATAAGAAGCAAGGAACAAGCTCTGATAAACGGCTGACAACATGTATTACCACTCTCATAGAGATAAATGTAACTTGTAACATTTGAAAGAAAAGAGAACTGTTCCTTTTTCGCTAAGTGTTCTCATGACTGCTTGTTGGAGATGGCCACTTGAAAGATCATCCTTTGTTAGCTAACTTGAATACTTTTGGTATTTTTCGGAAAGTATCACTCATTCATTCATCCTCCAAGCGATAGATAATACTTTTCGACGATTAACAATTACAGACAAAGGAAGAACGTACCATAGTATAATCAAATATTGTTTTCCAAGTAACTGACTATTCATGAACATTGCGAAGGCAGTGAGCATTCAGTCGATCGGAGTGGCTGGCGATTAACTGAACAGAGATTACTGGTAAGGGGGCCATTTCTACCGTCCCACATACTCAAGAGCGTAGTAATACGGTCAAATCGGTTCCTTTAATTGTTCTTCATGATGGACTCTGTAAAAGAAAGATATACAAGTCAGGGGATAACATGTAATAGGCAAATAACGAATTGGAAAAGAGAGATGTATATACGTCACTTTTTCCCTCGCTCTTTTCTATATTCAGCGCATTGTTCTAGTTTTTCTTATGCAGTACAAGTAACGATCATCCTCGATTCGGTCGATTTCACTAAAATCGCGTAGTTCGATCTACAATATCGCTGATCTATATCTTTTCAATGCTGTATCTTTAGTTTATCACAATAAAACACCGTACAACTCCTGCTGACCGTTTGTCTACTAGAATTATAGAATACTTAGGAAAACAGCCTCGCCGCGGTCTTCAGTCAGCGTTCGGCATGTTGATTGTGGCGTCCTCTATTGACTTTCTCTGCACGGTAGAACTTTAACCAGTTACTTGTTACAATGTATATTGGCGCCTCTTATCGATTTTGAATATACAGTGGAGTGTCTCTATCGATTAATGAAAAACTAATTAGGTTTTCGTAAAACTAAGGCCCGCAAATCCGTACTAGCCAGAAAAACATAGGTGGTGTTTATAGTTTAAAAATTCTGTACTATTTCTTTCTTTTTACTAACTGCTATCATTATATTTACACACTCTGTGCCACTGTTTAACTTTTTTCTCCTGTGTCTTGATGCATTACTTGATGGATTACTTGTAATGAAATCAACAGTTCGTGAAAAATGCCGCAAAGTGAGCTATAAAGACTTAGTTTAAACGACTGGTAACGCAAAAGATTCTTTCTAAGTATAAAAATTGATGGGGATATTAGATTTTCCCAGTTGTATTTTTGCAGTATGTTCCGTTCCATATAGCACTTAGTTGCATACACATAACCCACTCGCGAAGCTGAGACCAACGTCCGGTCTATGTGTTGAGTTTGACGAACATACTGACCCTTAATCCTCATGTCGAAATTTCGAGAGACATCTAATGCAAAAAATTGCAAAAATTCAGATCGGTTGTTTTGCAAAAGCCTGTACTCAAATTTCCGTGTCTCACGTAACACCACAGGCATGAAATTCTTCTACGTTTCATAAAATATTATTGTCTGTAATTACGCGAGTAAAGCTTAGGTGTTACCAGACAATATCCGGACAGGCCCATCGAACCCACCCACAAGGAAGCCTCACGGCTCACTCCTGGTTCTGCGGCAGTAGATCGCGATCTGCTGCCCGCAGTCTCCTCCGAGCTAAGAGGAGCCACTTAGAAAAGTCTCACACTAGTTATGATGACTCACCGACGACTCATCGCAATGAATCATCGATCTTTTTTGCATTGTTATAGCAAAACGTTTTTTGCGAAAATTGTATTGAAAAAACACACGCAGTATGACACAAAAAAAGATTGAAATATCGATCCCCCTTCACATTTGTCACATTACTGATGATAATTGACAAATAGACCGGGTGAATATCGTGTGTTCTTTAGAATACGACTTTACTGGTTAGAATAAACTCTAGGTATCTTATTAAACAAAAAGAGGGTAAAATGATTACATTTTATTTCTGTCAATCTGTCATCTTATTTTCATTTCTGTAAATTATGTAGAAGTTTGTTTCTCATCTTCCGTGCATATTTAATAAATCCTTTCATGATTCAATTAAGATTTTTAAAGACCAGTTAAGGAAAAACCATGAGAAGAGTTAAAAATTTAGTTATCTAAGTAACACTAAAAGTTTTCCTCAAGAATTCCAGAGTTAGCTGGAAAATGAATATAGAAGAAACACTGTTGCTTCTATATCAAAGTTTAAACTAAATGTATAAAATGTTTGAATATAGTCGATAGGGTTCGTTAGATAATAGAAATTTAGTGCCAAAATCAATTAACTTTGCGTCCGGTTGTTGTACACCTTGTCTATCACTGATCGATATATTTGAAACAGTTACAGCAGTTCAAACTACATCATTTACTAACAGAAAATATGGGCGATTGTGTCGATTCTTTCTTCAGAAACATTGTCTCAGAGAACATCCTTACTTATCCGCCCTAAATGTATCCTTACGTGTCACATATTGTCCAGAAGTTTTTTTTCTACAAGGCTCACAGTAAAAAACACTTTATATGCGGAAATGATCAATTTCGAAAAGAAAAATATTAAACAGTATTTATAACCGTCGTTATTCATTTTGTATCAAATAGCGAATGTAGTCGATATGACAAATGTGATTCTGGCTATTATTCTTTCAACGAAGTTTGTTAGATTTGAATCCAGAGGTGCAACTGGTACCTATATACCGATCGGTATATCGGTACCGTTACCGGCGCCGGTCCGGTACCCGTACGAATTATAACGCCGATCGGTATACCGGCATTAGTATGAAGTGTAATTAGTCGGCCGATAATGCTAGTATTTTCAGAGTTGTTTAGTCTGTGTATATTGTGATATTGAAGTCCATGAAATGTAGGGATTTCTGATTGCCCCACGAAATGCCCCAAGATCTTGCGTTTCTTGGGCAAGAAAGTGTCACTTCCTTTTTTTGCATTTCTTAGGGACAAGATCTTGCTGCAAGAAATCCAAGAAATTTAATTTCTTGTATCAAAAAATATACAATCAGATTTCTTGACCCATGAAATCTTGCATCAAGAAACACAAGAAATAATCTTATTGCAGGCAAGAAAGGTACGTCTTGCTTTCTTGCCTCAAAAGCTTAGATCAAGAAATGGAAGAAGTGTTTTCTTACATTTCTTGGCACAAGATCTTAAGCCAAGAAAGCAAGAAACATTTCTTGCTGCAAGAAGTGTCCCACTTTCTAGTTTTTTTCTTGCTTTCTTGCAGCTTCTTGCATCAAGAAGTTTCCACTAGAGGATAAAAAGAATTGTCAAACCCAATAAAAGGAACTGAATAGAGTGACATCACTATATGCAGGTGATGTATACATACAAACGTGATAGATACAAAAAGAAAACAAGGACATATATGTCGTATCTGCATGAAGCCTATAACGTTCGTACACACTATATATAACGTGAATAAGAAAAGAAAATAGAAAAGAAAATCGCTATTTGTGGAAGCTCTAATGCAAGGAAAGACAAAAGCACGCAAGCAAGCAAGGATAAAATTTTCTAAAGTAGAAGAAAGAAAAAGCACAAGAAAATGTTCTTCTATTACATGTACATATAATGTATAGTGCATGCTAATAGTATTAGATATATATACGTATGAAAGAAAAGGCACAATGTTGTTGTTAGTTATAATTTAAATTTTGTATTATTCCGAAAAATGCGTGCAGCTTTTCCAGCGCACTACTACGATATTCTAGTCACACGTAAATGTGAAATTCGTGATCAGCGTAGGAAATGCTATCGATTGGTATAATTTTATCAGAATCGGCTCGGCGGAAGCGAAGATAGGAAAACCTCCGAATCTCACGGATAATACGGAAAAAAAGAAGTGCGATTGTACTAGAAGACAGAACAGAGTATCT